GACTACAGAAGGAGAACTAAATCTGCAGTCTCTCTACATGTTGTTGGTTTTGAAGGTACTCTTTCTAAATTTGAGAGTCTGGCTTCTGCTACAAGAAAGATACTGCAAGAGGCTATACGGTTAAGAAGAGCTGGAAATACTGGTTATACCGCTCTTGATGTAGTTGATACTAACACCGGTTTTTCAACTACTCCTAGTAGTAATACCGGTTTTTCTGCTGCTGTTGCTTTTACTCGCTCGCCAACTACTCCTGGTAATAACATCGGTTTTTCTGCTTCATCTCTTCCGCCTGCTTGTACTTCTCCCTGTTCACCAACTGGCCCCGCTAACGCTGTGCCTACGTATGCCGCTACTGCGGCTTTGGCGAACAGTGCTAGTTTGAGCAATGCACAAGCGAAAAACGCAACTAACAATGCGCAAGCAAATAATGCACAGTGGTCCGCTATGGATAAAAAGCGTACTCATAAGAGACATAGGCGGTGTGTATTTGGGTCAAATGATAACTCGGAGCTGGGAGTTGTTGTTCGCCGCAAATGGCTGCACTTATCATCGTTTTTGCCTACTGTAAGGACTGATGACATCATTGGCTATGTGGCTAAATATGCAGCTATCGATAAGAAGACAATTGTATGCTATAAACTGGTCAAAAAGGATTCTGATTTGGAAACTGTTAAGCACATTAATTTCAAGCTTGGAGTTTCAGAATCTGACTACTCAAAAATTCTGTCATCGGATATCCATCCAACGTTGCTGTCCGGCCTTTTGATTTTTTTCATGGCACCTGTGGTGTGCTGTATATTTGTGTGTCCTACATTCCGCCGGGCAGCTGTGATGTCATATACAAGGCACATGTTGACAATATACTGGCACTCCACGAGAAAATTGGAAACAGCCAACTTTGTGTTTTAGGTGACTTTAATTTATGTAATATTTCCTGGAGCTTTATTGATAACAATATTTTCCTCACCCCATCAAATGTTACTACTTTATCTGAATCATATTTAATTGATAATTTATTATGTATTGAACTATTTCAAATCAATGGTTTTTTTAATGAGTTAAACCGAATTTTAGGTTTAATATTTATTAGCTCTAATATAAATTTCAAGCTCTCTCATGCGGTCAGTTACATCTCCCCTCCAAATCAGCATCATAGCCCTATGGTTTTGGAATTTGAATTTTTCCAATATTTTGAATTACCGGCAGCTAGTCAGACGGTTGCTTTTAACTACTCTTCTTGTAATTTTGCTGAATTGAATAATTTGTTTGATTTGGATTGGTCCCAGCTCTTTGGAAATGTGGATGTAACTGGTTGCTACGATATTTTTAAGTCTAAACTTTGTGATATTTGTGTGGGTCACATCCCAATTCTTAATTCGAAAACCGCTAAGCGTCCATGGTTTACTAAAGAACTCAAACGTATAAGGAATAAGAAGAATAAGTTCTACAAAAGACAAAAGCATTCCAACGATGTTAATTTGCGTGAGCGTTACGTGTTTTATAGAGCTGAATTTAACAGGCTCAATAAATCTTTGTATAGGAATTATATTCGCGGCGTAGAAAGCAATATTAAATCTAATCGCAAGTTCTTCTAGAGTTATATTAAATCAAAGAAAAATTGCTCTAATATACCTGCATCGGTCCAGCTTAACGGGGTGTCAGCCAACTCCATCTCCGAAGCTGTTAATCTTTTTGCTGATTTTTTTTCTTCCAACTTTATTTCAGGTAATTCTGATAATGATTTTATTCCTGAAGATCTTTTGTCAAATTTAGATACTCCCATTAACTTCGGGAAATTAAAGCTGAAAGACGATGTAGCTAATGGCATTAACCAGCTTAAACTATCCACTAACACTGATGTAGACGGCCTCTCGGTTATTTTATTTAAAAGTTGTCCTTCACTAATTGCGCCTTTGAGGCACATTTTTAACATGTCTCTATCTGCCGGAGTTTTCCTCGATGACTGGAAATTGACTTTTATTACGCCAATTCTTAAAAGTGGTAACAAAAATTGTATTGAGAATTATAGGCCGATTTCTAAGCTTACCACTGTCTCAAAACTGTTTGAGTCCATAGTAAAAGATAAAATTTACTTTGCTGTTAAACATTTATTATGTCCCAACCAACATGGGTTCGTGCCGGGCAGATCTACGTTAACCAATTTAGCTGCTTTTACAGAGGACTGTTTGGAAACCTTTCAAAAGGGATTCCAAATTGACGCTATATATACCGATTTCTCTAAGGCTTTTGACAGGGTGCCTCATCGAATATTGATAGCTAAACTTGAAGGCCTGGGCTTTCATTCAGAGTTTGTGAAGTGGATCACATCCTATCTGTATAACAGACGTTGTGTTGTTCGTTGTGATAATGTATCGTCTTATTCTTTTGTCTCCTCCTCTGGTGTTCCCCAGGGTAGTGTCTTAGGTCCGTTATTATTTGTTATCTTTATTAATGATATATCTTCCTGTTTCTCAAAGTGTAAGTTTCTTCTATATGCGGATGACCTGAAGATATACTATGAAATTAAAAATAGAGAAGACTCATTGATTCTCCAGGGTGAGCTTGATAATTTGTACTGTTGGTGTGCGCGTAATCGTTTGTCCCTCAATATTGGTAAATGTCATTATACCTCTTTTGCAAAAGTGATTAGTATTGTTCCAACCTCTTACTGTTTTTCGAATGTCCCGCTAAAATCAATTACTGATTTTAAAGACTTGGGTGTTTATTTTGACTCCAAGCTCACCTTCACCACCCACATAAACTTTATTGTTTCTAAATCATTCGCGATGTTGGCCTTTATTCGTCGCAACTGCTCGTCATTTTCCGATCCTTATACTCTCAAACAGTTGTATTCGTCTTTAGTTCGGTCGAGGTTAGAATACGCTGTATTTGTTTGGACACCTTTTCATACAGTTCATGTGAACAGATTGGAGTCTGTTCAGAGGGCTTTTATACGCTTTGCTTTGCGTCCGTTGAAATTTGTAGACCCTATTCCGTCCTATCGTTCTCGTTGTTTGTTGATAAATCTCATGTCCTTAGAGTCCAGGCGTACTTTGTTATCGATGTGCTTTGTCTTTGACATAATTGTAGGCTCTATAGATTGCTCGCACCTCCTTATGAAAATTCGTTTTAATGTTCCCTCACGTATTCTTCGTTGTAATGAATTGTTTTTTGTGGGTGTTGTTAAATCTGTTTATGGTATGAATGCTCCTTTAAGGAGGACTCTCTCCCAATTTAATGCTTATTCTTCATCTTTAGACTTCGATTTTTCTTACTCAAAGTTTACTTTTAAGAATTTACTCATAAGGCAGGTGTTAGAAAAGATACGGCAACACCCTAGTGAATCGAAAGGAATTTATGGGGGACGTTTCTGCGATTGTTTTGACATTCTGCCTTTTTGATCTCTTTTTTGCACGTGTGCACACATAAATTGAAAATTTAAATCAGGATTGATCCCTTTTTGTACTAAAGTAAGTGCTATATAAAATAAATGTAATTATCATTTATTGAACAATTAAAATAAATTCACAGATATTTCAAACGACAGTCAAATAAAAGCGTTTTGAGAATTTGGGCGTGGGATCCATCACTGAATCCGTAACAATTTTGAAATATTTTAACGTGCTTGCATTAATTCGCAAAATGCTAAAGGCTAAGACTACCGAAGGTTATAGCTGTAAGATCTGCAGCAAAGCTGATGATTCACAGATGGTTTGCTGTGACGAGTGCGAAACATGGTACCATTTTCGGTGCGTTGGCGTTACAGCTTCGATCGAAAATGTGGACTGGCGCTGTGCGGAGTGCCGCACTCCGTCGCGCAACACTATGGCAGGGCAGGAGAAAGGCCAAGAGGGCACATGCGACGGACTTGCTAAGAATCCAAATGCACAAGGTAATGGTGGGGCACATGCCCAAAACGTCGTAGACGCCGAAGTCGACGTACGCGGTGCCCCACGCAGTAGTGCCAGCGGTAAGTCAGCAAAGATGCGGCGACAACGTGCCGAAGCCGCACTTCTTGAAGAAGAGCTACAAATTCTTCGTAAAAGAGAAGCGTTAATTGAAAGGCGCCGAAAACTTCTACAAAACCTCGAAACAGAAGACGAATGTTCCGATCTGGACGAAGGGTTGGACTCAACCGCGGTGGAAAAGTGGCTTAATGCAACTGTGCCTACCTTGCCCAACTCTGCGCCACCGAAAACACCGCACCAAGGTCACAAGACTCCAGCCGCGCAACCAGCCGGTCCCTCGGTTTCTCTCAGTCAGCCAAAAGAAGCACCCGACGACAGGAATTTCCAGCACCAGATCCAGTCCCTGCTGGAAAAGGTTTCTATACTGGAGCAAAGCGTACACAACACGGCCGTTCCTGCAACCGGCGCAACATGGATACCTAAATTGGTACCCAAATGCTCGTCATCACCGACGGATCCTAAGGCAACTGGCGAAAACGTCCCGATGCCGTCACTCTGTCTCACCAAGAATCAGATTGCTGCGCGCACTAGTGTTGGTAAAGACTTACCTAAGTTCAACGGCAAACCGGAGGACTGGCCTTTGTTCCTAGCCACTTACCAGCAAACTACCGAACTATGTGGGTTCTCCGAGGGTGAAAATCTTTTACGTTTACGACACGCTCTAGAGGGAGCCTCTCGGGATGCCGTCAGGAACTTACTCTTACCTACTTCATGCGTATCGCAAATAATCGACACGCTAAGAATGAAGTTTGGGCGCCCCGAGCTTATTATCGCTGTACTCGTGACACGAATCCGGGAAATACCAGTCGTAAAGGAGAACCGTCTTGAGGCTTTAGTCGACTTAGCCTTAGAGGTACAAAATGTTTGCGCAACAATGAAGGCTTCGAATATGCTGTGCTATCTCAACAACCCCGAGCTGGAGCAAGAGCTAGTGAACAAGTTGCCCGGACTTCTTGCCGCATTTTGGGGTATGCACAAGTTGCAGTTGTCTTCCTGCAATCTCGAAAATTTCGCGGACTGGCTATTTCAACTCGCCCAAGGAGCGAATAGTGTATTGGTGCCGTCCGTGACTTCAAAACCATCCACCAAACGTGGATACTTAAATGCTCACGCTGGCGATGTCAGAACTGGGAAACACAGCCCGTGCGTCATATGTCATGGAAAGTGTAGTACGACGGAGAATTGCAGCAAATTTAGGGCTGCGGATAGAGCGGAGTGGTGGAACTTAGTGCGTCTAAGTAATTTGTGCCGTCGCTGCTTAAAGGTACACCCTCGTCTTCAATGCCCCTCTGACGTCGTATGCGGGATAGATGGTTGCGTTTCCATACACCATCCCTTACTTCACAAACAGCGGAACAATCCAGTTAGCTCACCACTGGCTAACTCCACGCTAAACACTCATAGCTGCGACATGGAATCAGTTTTATTTCGGGTGCTACCGGTAACGCTTCACGGTAAGAACATAAAGATTAAAACATACGCGTTTTTCGATGACGGTTCGTCACTTACGTTGATGGACGCCGAACTACAAAAGCAATTGAGACTTTCGGGCACAGCACAGCCTTTGTGCCTGAAGTGGACAGCGAACACCCACCGTTATGAAGACGACTCCCAGGTGCTCGAGTTGAATATATCTGGGTTCAACGACAAAAGACGTTTCACGTTAACGAACGTGCATACAGTAAAAAGACTTGAGCTTCCAATGCAGTCTATCGATGCCAGTAAGCTTCAAACCAAGTACGCACACCTGCGAGGCCTTCCGTTGTCCTCCTACGTCGACGCCGTGCCGAAGCTATTAATAGGTCTGAACAACAGTCGCCTGGGCCTAAGTCTTCGATCACGCGAAGGGTCTGACAATGAACCGGTAGCAGAAAAGACACGCCTGGGGTGGACATTAAAGGGTGTCCTGGCAGCGCAACGACGAAATTCCGGCTACCATGCATTTCACGTTTGCGACTGTGATACCGCAGCAAACGCCGAGTTACTACAAACCATTAAGGAGTACGTTCTTTTGGATAATCTGGAAGTCGTTGGAAAGGCTGGCGATCTGATATCCAAGGAAGACAATCACGCGGTTGAGCAGCTCAAGTCTACTACCCGGCGTGTTGATGGTCGCTTCGAAACCGGATTAATCTGGAAATATGCTAACCACACGCTTCCCGACAGCCTACCGTTAGCCTTGCGGAGAGCGCAGTGTCTCCAGAGAAAGCTTACGCGTGACCCAGAACTCGCCGAGATTCTGTCATCCAAAATCGCAAATTATGTGGCTAAAGGATATGCTAAGGAACTGCCAGCCGATTCGCTGTTAGAAAAGGGGTGTTGGTACCTGCCCATATTCCCCGTACGTAATCCGAACAAGCCACAAAAGCTTCGCATCGTCTGGGACGCTGCCGCCAAAACCAGGGGGGTATCTCTAAATTCGATGCTCTTGAAAGGACCGGACCAATTGACCTGTCTACTATCTGTTCTAAGAAGATTCCGACAACGAGCAATAGCCTTGAGTGGAGACATAGAAGAAATGTTCCACCAAGTCCGCATCAGACGTGAGGATCAAAACTATCAGCGTTTTGTGTGGTTTGCACCCGGCGCCACTGAACCGTCAGTTTTCACGATGACAGTCATGACTTTCGGGGCCACCTGCTCACCTAGCAGTGCTCAGTACATAAAAAATCTGAATGCAGAGGAGTTCCGGAACCGCTTTCCGAGAGCCGTCGAGTGTATCGTCGACAACCATTATGTTGATGATATGCTTGATAGCGTGGACACAGTAGGTGAGGCTGTCAAGCTTGCCAGAGATGTCAAGTTCATTCATGGGGAAGGTGGTTTCCATATCAGAAACTGGCGGTCGAACTCCGAGTCGGTCCTGCAAGCACTGCACGTTGGTGCCAGTAAACCCGAAATGAGCTTGAGTCCTGATCCAGAGATACCAGCTGAGAAGGTTCTGGGCCTTTGGTGGCTCACCAGAGAGGATTGTTTTACATTTCGTGTGTCTCCGCATCACAAGCATGGGGATCTTCTGCGCAATCACCGTTGCCCTACCAAGAGAGAAGTATTGAGTATTATCATGAGTATATTCGACCCTTTAGGGCTACTTAGTTTTTACATCGTATACGCCAAGATATTATTCCAGAAGATTTGGCGCTCAGGTTGTGGCTGGGACGACAACATTCGCGATGACTATTACTCCGACTGGCAGAGATGGGTTCGCCTACTTCCTGAGGTGGAGACCGTAAGGATACCACGATGCTATTTCACAGATCTGAGCCACGAGTCCGAGCTGGAAATGCACGTCTTTGTTGACGCCAGCGAAAATGCCTACGCGGCCACATGCTACCTACGTCACTCCATTGGAAGTGTCATCAATTGCAGGCTGGTAGGAAGTAAAGCGAAAGTAGCACCGTTGAAGATGCTCTCGGTTCCACGGCTCGAGCTGCAGGCTGCTGTCCTAGGAGCTAGACTGGCTGCAGGGGCACGCTCTTCGCATACGCTAAACATTCGACGACAAACGTATTGGACCGACTCCCGCACTGTGCTGGCGTGGATTCGCGCTGACCACCGTCGCTACTCACCATTCGTGGCATTTAGGGTGAGCGAAATCTTGGAACTAACGGAGATGTCAGACTGGAGATGGGTTCCTTCAGCGGAAAACGTTGCCGACGACGCCACAAAGTGGCAAACCACGCCTAACATGTCGAGTCAAAACCGATGGTTTAATGGACCACAGTTCCTAGTTCTTGACCCTAAATTCTGGCCTGTCGACGCTGAAGGCCTCGAACCCACTAGAGAGGAGCTGAGGGCCAATTTCGTAGGTTATCATGGTACGGAGCAGCAAGAGCGAAAGACCTTGGTAGCGCATGAACGCTTTTCGCGGTGGACTCGTCTCCTGCGAACAATTGCGACTGTTGTACTGAGTCTCCGCAGGCGGAAGATGTACAGCAAAGGTATACGAACACCCTGTCACCGGGTGGAACAAGAAGACCTCAATAGTGCCGAAAAGATACTTTGGAGAGAAGCCCAATACGAGGCATTCGCTGACGAAATCGCTCTGCTTGTGAACGGGAAACCACTAAACCGATCAAGTTCTATCTACAAGCTTTCACCATACCTGGATGAGGGATCATTGCTACGGCTCGGTGGCAGATTCAATTTGCCCGGATGTCAGGACCAAGTTATATTGCCACGATGCCACAACATAACTCGACTGCTGGTTTTAGACTACCATATCAGATATTGCCACGGGAACTCGGAGACCGTTGTGAACGAGATACGCCAGAAGTTCTGGATTTCCCGACTACGCGCCGTGGTCAAAAAGATTCGCCAGGAGTGCCAGATCTGTCGACTCAAAAACGCGTCCCCACGACCACCAAAGATGGGCAACCTACCCGCGGCCCGAGTTACTCCCTTTGTCCGGCCGTTTTCATACGTGGGTGTCGACTACTTTGGACCATTGTTGGTGTCCGTACGCAGGAGCACGGAGAAGAGGTACGGCGTGCTCTTTACTTGCCTGACAACGAGAGCGGTTCACTTGGAGATAGCGTACTCATTATCTGCCGATTCGTGTATCCTGGCCATTCGGAGTTTTATGGCCAGACGCGGCGTCCCACGTGAATTTTGGAGTGATAACGCCACCAATTTCAAGGCCACACAGCGGGAACTCAGTGCTTCCTTTAACGAAATGGACAAGGACAAGCTTGTACGCGCCTTTACGAGCTCTTCCATGAAGTGGATGTTCATACCACCAGCATCGCCACACATGGGTGGTGCCTGGGAAAGGCTAGTTAGGTCGGTAAAAGACGTCCTTTCGAAGATACTACAATCGCAACGACCGTCTGACGAGCTATTGCGAGGAGCCTTAATGGAAGTCGAATCCATCGTCAACTCCCGACCACTCACCTACATACCGCTGGATCACTATGAAGACGAGGCTCTCACACCAAATCACTTCTTGATTGGCAGCTCCAGCGGAATGAAGCCCTTGATAGAGTTTGTTGATGAAGCAGTTCAATTGCGAAGAGGTTGGAGATGTGCTCAGCAACTGGCGGATGCATTCTGGAGACGTTGGGTGCGCGAATATCTACCCGTAATAACTCGGCGAACAAAGTGGTTCGAAAAGGTAAAGCCAATTGAAGAAGGGGACGTCGTCTACCTAGTGGACCCGAACGGTCCGAGAAGCTGCTGGCCCAAAGGTCGAGTGATCTCTGTTAGAGTAGGCTCTGACCAACAGGTGAGGAGCGCTTTGGTGAAGACTAGCGCTGGTATATACGAGCGACCGGCCACGAGACTTGCCGTACTTTCCGTGAGTATACCGGAGAATGGGGTAGATCCGAAGGATATACCAGGGGGGAGTGTTAGAAAAGATACGGCAACACCCTAGTGAATCGAAAGGAATTTATGGGGGACGTTTCTGCGATTGTTTTGACATTCTGCCTTTTTGATCTCTTTTTTGCACGTGTGCACACATAAATTGAAAATTTAAATCAGGATTGATCCCTTTTTGTACTAAAGTAAGTGCTATATAAAATAAATGTAATTATCATTTATTGAACAATTAAAATAAATTCACAGATATTTCAAACGACAGTCAAATAAAAGCGTTTTGAGAATTTGGGCGTGGGATCCATCACTGAATCCGTAACAGCACTTGTCATAAGGGTTTCCCTTATTCTATGTATATATTTGTCATATAGTCTGTAAGCGTCCTGTTTGTTGATAATAATAATAATAAATAAATAATAAAATAGGTCTCCGTATTTACTCTGCGTGGTGCTGTGTATGTTAGAGTTATCAAAGGTTATCCTGCTATAAAAATTGACAAGCAAAATGATTTGCAAAAATTCTTTTGACACGTTATATTCACTCTCTTTAATGCTTTGCTCGTGTACTCTTAGTTTAAGTATGTATATGTTTTCTTTAACTTCCTTTGTAAAGATGGGTCATCTTTTAATTATTTACTTGGTATTAGAATGCGTTTATTTTTCCTTTTGTTTTGTAGTTGCTCCTGTTTGTATGCTTTATGGTAGCTTCTAAAGGCAAACTCAATAGCATTGGTGACAACAGCCTAGCTATGTTAAATATTTTATGTAAGCAACAGAACGGGCGTAACATTGTCCATTTCAATGCCCGAAGTTTAAATAATATGAAAATGGACTATGTTAGATATGTGTTTGAGTCCTCCGCAGTTGATGAAATATGTGTATCTGAAACCTGGTTCTCCAATGATGTGGTTGATGCTCACTTTGATATAAATAATTACAAGCTTATACGTTATGATCGGATCGGTAAAAAAGGCGGTGGTGTTGCGATTTCCAGCAAAAACCACATTGATATGAAACTTGTATGTGAGTCAAATAATGATGGAATCGAGTTTTTATTTGTTGAATTGTCTGACCGTTTGCAAAAAGCTCTTGTATCCTGTGTCTATAATCCATATATGTAATATTTCTATATTGGCAGTAAGCTAACTTCTCAATGTGTAAGCATTCCGAAATCAAAGCGAGACAGTCTAGTACCATTTTTGTCAATGTATTGTGTACTTGAGTGCCGTTTTTGTATATGTGTTGTGTACATGTATATTTATAAACGTATGTGTTCCTTTTCTTTCGTACGTGTTTATTGATATATCTGTACTGTAGTGTTTTCGGACGGTACTAGCTCTTACTGCCAATATATATAATCCCAATAAGTCTGTTTGTCTCAGTCTTTTATTTGAGCAGCTATCTAAGGTGATTATCGATTATGAAAATATCATACTTTGTGGTGACTTTAACGTAAATGTTCTTGTTCGTGATTCGCTGTGTTCCTCGTTCTTTGATAACGTCTCAAGTATTGGTCGCTCTGTTGTCAACACCACGGTGCCTACTAGGTACAGCAACAACTGTAACCCTAGTATTCTTGACTATTTTGTCGTCTCCGATCGCTCTTCTGTGTTAAGGTTTGATTAGACTTCTTATATTTCTGACCACGATTTAATTTTTTGTTCCCTTGACCATAATTTTAATGTCAGTAAAGCAGAAAAAATACATGCCTATAGGGACTTCCGCTCACTTGACTTGAGTGCTCTATACTTAGAACTAGATAATGTTTATTGGTGTGACTGTTGGTATTATGAGTCCATGAATGATAAACTTGATTTTGTATCTAATTTGTTTTATCTCTTTATAACGCTCACGTTCTACTACGATATGCCAAAACTACTTCGTGTCCATGGTTTACCTCCAAAGTCTTAAGGGCCATACAATTTCGTACCGCAAATGGAAAAGAAGTCGTACTAGCGCAAATTGGGATGCTTTTCGCGCAGCAAGGAATAAAGCCACTTCAATTATTAGAGCTGGAAAGCAGTGTTTCTTTGCAGCCAAGCTGGATCCTTTTCTCCCTTCTGCTACTTTGTGGCGAAATATTAAAAACCTTCGTATAAATTCCAAGAACCAACCTAAGTGTATGTTAAATGTTGATAGTTTGAATGACGCTTTTCTGTGCAGTGCTTCGTCGGATGGGTTACCCATCAAATTTATAAAATTAGTAATGCTTTACATTATAAAACCGTTGACTCATATAATTAACCACTGTTTTACTACAACTTGTTTCCCAAACTTATGGAAAGTTGCCTCTGTTTGTCCTGTTGCTAAAAACAAAAACGCACGTTCCCCGTGTGATTTTCGTCCGATTAGTCTCCTACCTGTTTTGTCGAAAGTGCTAAAGTCCTTAATGTCTGAGCAAATTTCCTCTCACATGTCTACCAAAAACTTGTTATCACCTTACCAATCAGGCTTTAGGAGAGGACATGGATGTTCAACCGCGAAGGTTACAATTATGGACGATTTGCGAATTTCTTTCGACAAAGATCACATATCCCTGCTGTGTTTGCTTGACTTTTCAAAAGCATTTGACTCAGTCGAACATTCACTGCTTTGTTCAAAGCTTTCTTATTACTTTGGTTTTTGTAAAAATGCACTGTCGCTAATGACGAGTTACTTAACGGGTAGAAATCAACGAGTTAAGGTTGGCACGGTAGCCTCGCAGACTAAACCTCTGATGAGTGGTGTTCCCCAGGGGTCCATTTTAGGTCCTCCATTATTTAGTGCCTTTATAAATGATATTTTCTCTACCTGTCAATATGTAAACATGCACGCATATGCAGATGACATCCAGATATATTTGTCCGGGAAAATTAATGATGTGGTCAGACTTAGTTGTAATCTGAACAAGGACTTATGCTCCATCTCTCGATGGGCTGCGAATAACGGCCTTCGTGTCAACCGCCTAAAATCGTATGTTCTGCCTGTCTGCAAAACCAGAATAAGTTTTAGCAGCATTCCATCTCTTTGCCTTGTTAACAATACTTTAAAGCTGGTCGAAAAAATAACTAATTTGGGTTTTGTTATAAATACTAGCCTTAGCTGTGCTGACCACATCAACTCCATCGCGTGCAAAATATATGGCACCCGCATCATATACTCTTATGCTCATTAGAAAAAAACTTGCTCGTCAATTAGTTCTTCCCATCATCACTTACTCTGAGGTGGCTTATAGCAAGCTTGATTCTAGGTCATCTCATAAAATTGATACCTTATTCAATCATATTACGCGTTATGTTTATGGAATTCGAAAGTTTGACCACATATCTGCTTGGAGATGTAGCTTATTGGGCTTTCAGAATTTTTTTTTTTTTTTTTTTTGTTAAATTTTCGATAACGTTTATAAAGTCGGCTTGCAAGACTTTTGGACAATTTTCTAAAAAAGTCAAAATAAGAGGTGTGTGAGAGAGGACAATTGCGGTTGTATGCGCCGAGGTGAGTAAACTGTCGAAGGTAACTCCGAGGATTTTCGGGTTATTCACCGTCGGAATTGGTTCGCCACCGACGTGAATCCGCAGGGTTGTCGTGGATTTCGTAGGACGGAGGGTTAGGCTCCTTGCAGCGAAAAAGCGAGAAATTTCGGAGAGTTAACTGTTTAAACAGCAACGGGGAGAGGACACCCCCTGTGGAGCCCCTGTTTAATTTTGCTCGGTTTGCTGGTTTTGTCTCTGGAAATTACTGATGAATGTCGACCACACAGATAATTCGCCGGCCACTGTTTAAGTCCCTGTGGGATAGGAAACCTCAATGTATTCTAGTAGCGTGGAGTGGCTGACGGCATCAAATACCCTTGACAGATCCAATGCTACGAGGACTGTTCTCTCACAGGGGCGGTTTCGGTTAAGGTCACGAGTTATCTGGGTGTTTATGGCGTTAAGAGCTGTTGTGCTGAGTACTTTACGGAACTTATGCTGATGCCTCGCTGGGGTTGCGTGGTGTGTGTAGTGCGGGAGTAACAAGGCTTCAAGTGTCTTCGCTAAGAAGAAAGTGAGTTATCGGACGACAAGACTCTCCTTTGTGTGTGGTTATTGTTGTCTTGCTCGGGCGAACTCCAGTGTGCTGTGGAAGTGGTCCGATTTACACAGCATGGGCGACGTGGCCACTGCCGGTGAGTTCTTTAGCGCAAGCAAGTGCGAAGGTGGCAGGTATTGCAACTCACCGAGATGGGGTTAGGGTGCAATCGTCTTTGGCATACGAAGCAGCTGTAGGTTTCTGGGCCTGGGTTTGAATCAATGCCAGCCCTGAGCAGAGGTATACGTAGCAAATGTAGCCCCATATGCAAACAACGTTTGAAGCATTTCGCCGAACTAAACGCGGTTAGATCGCCGAATCAATAACCCATGGTAGGTAAAACCCGGTACGTAGAACCGGCTGTCGTGGGAATGCGCAATGTCTGGTAGGAGAGAGTTGTTTTGCCTGTACGCCCCCTGTGTATGCTGCTAATATGCGATTGAGCAGCACTTCCACAGCTGATTAATTTGGCAATTTATTCTCTGCTTGGTACATTTCACCAGATTTGGCATTGTTTACATTTGAATACTTTTGGTTAAGAAAAACGTTTTTAACATATAATTTTATTATATCGGAATGAATAAAGCTGATGCCAGATAAAACTTTGTAACTTTGTGTGACATTTATAACTTTTCCACCAAAGCGCCCGACGCAAAAGGTATACCATAATGAACGCCAAGAAAACCATTTTTTACTTCTTTTTTACTCGTCAAAATTGCTGTGGATTTTACATATTTTGCTTTATAGTCCGGTGAAATTAGACCAAAAATAGGAGTGAAGTTACAAAAATTCCCACCCAGCTGAAAATTGGTAGGATTGTTCATACCACCATCATAAATGAAATCAATAAAGTCCTCATCGATCCGATACCATGATTCAATAACTACAGGTTGTAGCAATCGTACAAAAACAACATTTACCGTTGGTATGAACTCCTTGTATCATCAACATCTTTATCTATTCATATTCGTATGTATATGCATACCCTGCATACCAGGGCTCGAATCTTAACATCCGTTCACGGATCAAAAACGATACGAAAGAAAATTACGTGATACATCAGGCAGTATAAACTAAATGGGACAAAGAGTACGTTCACGTATGTCATAATCCGAAAAATGTGTTTTTACGTGACAATTACAACGATATCGTATGTGACGATTCGAGCCCAGGATTTCATAGAATTCTGAAAGGTTTAACAATTTTTTTTTAAGGAATCGTACAGAAATTTCAGTAGTAGTTCTTGTCAACCGCTTCATATGTTTTTCTTTAAAGATTCCTAAAAGGACCGTAACAAATTTCCGATACTCTTAAAGGTTTCGGGACCATTTGTTTTCAGGGTATATATTTAAGTATAAGGGGATGTATACACGAATATGTACACAAAGCAAAACAGACGATAATTTGACACAAGCGTGCTCATAAGAAGAAGCATAGCTTCAATCAGAGTGTCCAGATTTGGCGATCTCGCGCTCATTTGGCGATTTTCTCCCTTCAAATAAATTTTTTCCAATTATAAAAATATACAAAACTTAGTTTTCCACGATAATTTACAGAAGAGGCTAATGAACTGCGTGATAAACTTAACTTAAGAAGCATATTAAAAGACTATCACAAATGTTTAATCACCCTAATAGAAGAACTTTTGTAAGATTACCTAGTCAATTAAATAAAAAATCTTCGATTTTGTCACCAGAAAAGTGTGTGCATCACAAGAGGGCGAGTTTCAGGGACCTGCCAATTCACTGTTTGACTTTGAAGGAAAAAAAAGCAGCGGAAACTGAATATTTAAATCTTTTAATTTCCCATGGAATAACTTTTCTCAGAACCATTCCATCCGACTATGAAGA